CACAAAAAAAAATTATAGTACCCCCAAATGATTATTTTTCATTATTATGAAAAATATAATAAAAATAGTGTGGACAAACGAAAATAACGGGTGGACAAACGTGGACAAACAGTGGACAAACGAATGCAATAATGATTTTATCAAAATTCGCATTTAGGGGTGCCAACTTCACAGAGCTGCTCTGTGAAGTCAGCACCCCTAAATGCAAATTTTGGTAAAATCATTATTGCATTCGTTTGTCCACTGTTTGTCCACGTTTGTCCACCCGTTATTTTCATTTGTCCACCCTCCAAAAAAAACATATCATATAAAATAATTGGTGTCGATATAATTTTTAAGATAGAATTTCCGAAAACGTCTCATGCCTCGTTGTCATGAATTTTGGTAGAAATGCTCTACTCCTAACTTATTTAAGTATTTTTGCCCAAATTCATGGCAATTGAGCGTAGAATGTTTTCAAAAATATATCCATTTTTTATTTTAGGGGTGCGAATACAAATATTATATGTATTTACATTAATTTAATGATAAAAGATATAACGAGATATCTATAGTTAAAAAATTTAAATATATTAAACTGAATAAATAGATATTCACTTATCTTTGCTTTGGTTATAAAATAGTGCTCACAATATTATTCGGATTTCGAGGTGTTTCTAGTTCGAGAAAATCCAAGTTTATCGGGGTTTTCCATGGTGTTCGAGAAGGCGGAATATAAATTACTTGCCGCTTCCTGTATCTCTTGAATTTTTCGATCGACGCTTTTATCAGAGAGCGAAACCGAAGACGATATACGGATCTCGCTCCGTAACTCTCGGTCGTAGAATTGTTTCGAGGATAAAGTTCGATGGACGACCAATGTAACCTCGTCGAAATAAATAGCTGCGATATCGTAACCGTCGGTAGTTTGTTCGACAGTGCCGATGGAGTTTTATCGTAGGTCTTTCTCCTGTTTGGACCTTGCTTTTTTTACGTGGACTTTTACATTCGGCTTTTCCTTTCGCAAGGTGCGATAACGACTACGTCAAAGTTGTGCTCGCTATATCGCGGCAAAATTCTTTTTTTCTCTATATATGAACTGTTTTCTCGATCAAAGTATTCAGAACTTATGTAAATAACGAAAGTTGCATTGAAAATATCTTTCATAGCATTTTCATTCGACTTTATATTCTATATATTATTATTACATATTATAATGGTCATTTTTATATTATATACAATGTTATACTAGGCAAGTTTATTAGTATATTATTTATTTGATAAAAATTGAAAATCTTGATATAAAAATATTGAGATTTTTTTTATGTGATAAATTACACATCTTACATGATTGCTCTACCGTCACTTGCTGACTCTTAGGCCTCGTCTTCTTCTCAGATTGTTTCGCGTTGCATTCACACATTATTTACTTACAAAAACAGTTAATTACGATCGTGCGTGCACTAATTATCAGGATGTGACGGTCGCGCGACATTTTGTGTACTTATGGCTCTAATCTTGCATCTTGTCACATTGCGAGAAAAGATAAAAGCTACGTGAGAAAAGTTAATACAACGGACGAATTTAAAACAGTTTTAACGGATTATTCATATACACACTACACATTTATACAATAGACTATACATGTGAATCCAGAAAAGATAAATTACATTTAAATAAAAAAATACTAGATAAAGACTTAAGTTAGTAGAGACAAAATTTTGTGTATTTTATTGAGTAAATTTTATTAACATTATTTAATAAATATCTATTATTTACTTGTTATTAGAGCCGTACCTTCTCTTTTTTTAAATTATAATTACAAAAGATTTAAAAAATATGCGATGCAAAATACGTTAGAGAATACTTGTCCGTAAATATCGTATCGCAAATATTACCTCTGTGAAGTAGGCACCTCATTTTTAAAAAAATGAGGTGCCTACTTCACTGAGGTCAAATATTTGCAATTTCTACTGTTCTAGTTCTGTGAGAATTATCTATCGAATATATATATATATATATATATATATATATATATATATATATATATATAATATATATATCGAGTTACATTAATTTTTTTAATAGTACTTCAAAATTTTTCGAACAGAATATTCGGCGTATGTTCAGTTTATATCGTGCTCAAGGCTAAACAAGTCGGTTGGGGTATGGCCTTGATGTTTGTTACACAGTGTATTGTTTACGTAAAGTCGTTGTGGAAGCATTTGTGCGGCGAGTCTCGAGTCGGAAGGCAGCGGCATAAGTCGCTCCTTGTGTCGTAGCATTTACGCTACAAGACGCGACCATTCTCTGCGAACGTTTAGTGATCATCAATCTGCGTGATTAATTTACTCTCGCGATCCATAAGATAACGAGTATTTATCATAAGAGAAATGTGTCGTTTGGAAACAGATATCTAAGCGATAAGCAACATAGATAATCAATTATTGTTACATGATATTACGAGTAACAATCATTTATTTTGGGTAACTCGGATATATTTCATATCGTGAAATTTATTTTTTGATAAATGTGACATAATTTAAAAAAGAGTAACGACTAATAACGAGGAAGTAATAAATATTTAATAAACAATAATAAAATTTATACAATTAACAGGTGTATATTAAACAATTTTTCTTTGTCTTCATCAGTTTAAATTTAAAATATATAATTTATCTTTTTTTTTACATTGAGAATGCAGAAACTTTACCTTGGTATATTTAGATATCATTTTTATTCTTTTTCAACATTCATTGCTTAACAAATATATGTGAAAAATGATATATTCTGAATTCCTGAACGTATCCTATGAATGCGAATCATCGAATG